TGATGCTGTTTTTCTTTCTCAGTGGATGGTTTTACAGCTTAAGTTTCTTTCCCCTCAGGCTTTGCCATTAATACAATCAAAGTCCAGACTGAGTCATTAGGAAAAAAAAAAATCTTACCTCTCAGCACAGTCTGATATTTGCAAATAAAAATATGCTTACAGTTTCAATCTATTGTATGTACTGTTGATTTATAAGATTGCATTTTTTGGAGGCCAAGTAATGACAAACTAACTTATTTTCGTTGGATTTTTTTTCCTCTATATTCCTTGAAGCAGTGGAGTTGACCTTTAAGTTCTGGCTTTTATTAGAAAAAACTAAATAAGTAAGAAAAAATAATATGGACATTTCTGTAAATGTCTTTTGAAATCTCATTGTGTTCGCTCACTTCAGAGATGGAAGGTAGGGTTAGACTGAGAAACTGGCAGGGGATGAAGTACTTCTCTGTGACAGATCAGTTCCCTTTAGCCCTGTGTCTGGCTTATTTCTAATATAACAGAAATCACCCTGCATTCCAAGGTAGCTGTAACCAATCGATGGGAATTGCCAGTTTTTCAGTAGTTCCCTCCTCTGAAAAATAATGTACTGGTTGTGGCTGGAGAAATGGCTCAGCGGTTAAGAGCACTGGATGCTTTTCCAGAGGTCCTGAGTTCAAATCCCAGTAAGCACATGGTGGCCCAGAATCATCTGTAATGGGATCCAATGCCCTCTTCTGGTGTGTCTGAAGATGGGGTACTCATATACATAAAATAAATGAATCTTTAAAAAGAAAACAATGCATTGTTATTCTCAACAGTATGTTCCACCCTCACATAAAAAGTGTCTACTCTGGGGACCCGGACAAAGCTTCCTTATGTGTCAGCTCTTCAACACACAATATTCTAAATATTCTGCCTCTATAACCATATGCTGTGTCTCCTTTCAATAATATTTATAAATTATCTAATACCTGAGACCAGATGCATCTGTAATGGCGAAAAAAACTAAGAGACAGAACTCTAAGCAGTATTGCAGTTTTTATTGAGATCACCATTGTATCGCAAAGGTATTCAGAAATAGATCAGTGAGACTTTAATACATTATATTTGGTGTAGATTTTATTGGTTATATAGTTACTTATAAGGACTTTTTAATTTTCTTGAAAATATAATAAGATTTTTTTAAAAAGACTCAGCTTAATATTTAGATACTGTATGTATGTAGAAGGTCCATGCATTTTCTTTTCCTTTCTCAACTATACATTTAGAATTTTATGCAAATAATATTGCTACCCCTCTGTGAAGCTTTCAAGGTAATGGAAAGGGGTAGAAATAATGGAAAAGTTAAAAATGTATATATCTTATGCTACATTTACATGTAACTCTGAAGGTCATTTAGTCATATTCAACATGGTAGTGGTGGCAGCCTGGATTAATTCTGGTTGCATGCTTGTTTTTTATTATTATATTTTAATACTTCATATGGTGATATGAGAATATATATATATATATATATATATATATATATATATATATAAATTTCAATATCACAACACCATGGCATTATTAAAGTACAAAGAAGAGCCATGGAACCCTCTGTATGGTCAAACCTAGAAAAGACAATGCGCCCTGGTTTTATTTTATTCTCTGATTTAACTAGTGCAGTGGCTGCCACACATCAGTGTTTCATAGACGAGGTAAACATCCAATTCATTGTCCCTGTGTAAGATATGTCTATTTATTCCAGGCCGAGCTCACTAAGAGAAAAAAATTGTGGCAGGCAGGATTTCATCTTAATTAAACAGAAATTACAGAGTTTATTAGATAATGAATCTTCTGCGACTGAGCATTGTTCTTCTTATGTATTAATATACTCTATAGAACTGAGCAAAACTATCAACGCAGTCTAAGCTTGAGAACCTGTCGAGACTAGAGATGGATATGCATACGTGTTGTACTTTTCAAAGGCTTATGAATATATCTGGGAATGACAGCTTCTGTAATGTGCTATCTGACAACCTTCAAAAGCATCATTCCTGTGCCCCCTTCACTTAAACTTTTATTTCATTATGTGAGAGATAAGATGGTAATGTTAGCACACGTTTCTTGTTGAAAGGTAACCACCTCTGGGCTTATATCTTATGATATATCGATAAGGGAATGCTACATACTAGTTTAAAGCCTTGGTGGATTTATAGTTTAAGGTTTTCAATCTTTAATGGTTTCCTGGGTAAGTTTTTAAATCAGTAGATATAGGCTAACTGAACAGCTACAGGCAACTAAGAAATGCTGAGAATGGGAAAAACAGTCTTCCCCAAGGAAGAGCACATCAGTTGGTTAACCCATACCAAATGTTCATTTCTAAAATACACATAGAAGTAACATTATATAGACAGAAAAAGTAATATTCAAAATATATATGCATATATGTATTTTTGTCTATATATATATGACAGCAATCAATGAGAAGAGAAGCCGTGGATTTTTAAAGAGAGCAAGGAGGGATAGATGAAAGTATTTGGGGAAAAGGAATGGAGCAGTGAGGTTGGCATTATATTATAGTCTCAGAAATAAAAACTAATAATAATTTTAAAAATTATACAAGGTGATCATGTTAACCCACAGAAGTGGTCAGTGAAGTTCTGTCAGTGTTTTAAGATGCACATGGGAAGAGACAAGAAAGACAATAAAAATATGGGTTAGCAAAGTACATAAAGTCTACAATGGAATGGCAGGGCTTACTGACAATATTCTATTATATTTTTATCCTTATTATTCAGCCGTAGGAGGTTTGTCCTATGCATCCAGAGATAGGCTGTGTACATTTAACTTACAGTATTAAGGGAATAGCTTTCTATTATATATACATATAATATATATATATAATTATAATACATATATATAATACATATATATAATTATATATAATTATATATAATACAT